CAATGATGAGAAAAAAAGAGAGTTTCGTCCTGGGTCCGCTGCTAGACTCGTTGATTAACCTAGTCGTTTGGAAGTTCTGCTTGTAGGAAGTGCTTAGAGTGGGAACACTAGTGGGAAAGTTTCACGTGTCGCACTGGAGTAGGTTAAGTGGAAAGGTTAAGTCACATATCTGCAACGTCATTTCTACCAGATAGTACGAAAATAGCTTATCTATATGCATATTAAATAAGGAAACCGTTTCTGTATTGAGACTGAAAATATAACAGTTTACATTTCGGTAGTCATTTTTCTCAAAACCTCTTGACTCTTGACCAGAAACGTTTATCTAAACCAACACAGCAGCGTAGATCTCTGGTGGCAGGGCGGAAAAGCTTCCTGCAATTGTTTCTATAAACTTACTATTCAAAACATAGCAGTCGAGATGAAATAAATAAAGTGATGGAAAGCGGTTCACTTAATTAAAAGATTCAAACAAAAAATCACGTATTATTTATATGATAATTGGCTGACTTCGTTATCCGAAACATATTGTTTTTCTAATTTAATGATACTCGTTTATGTTGACATTTTAATCATGGGAATTCCATTGAAGAAACTTTCACGAAATCAATGAAGTCTAGTACCAATTACTCTACTATTCAATTAACTACTAGTTTCGTAATCAGCCAATAAGGAGATAATTATACGACTTTTAAGAAACAATGCAGCAGATTCTCCCGCATAAAGAAAAAATAAACAGAGCGAGGAAACTCGAAAAGGAAAAGCCAGGATGCAAGAGTAAAAGTAAAAGGCACTACTTATTTTTTGAAATATAGTCACTGCACTGGAAATAATTAGTATGACACTTTAATTACGCCATCTTTGTTCTCTCTCTTCTCCCTTTTCCTTAAGAAAATCTGTTTCTTTTCAACGGTTAATATCGATACTTAATAGAGACAAATTACTTAATTTCTAAAAAAATTAAATCATAAATCCTTTACTTTATCACTATCTGATACTGGCTAACATGTTTGTTCATCTTCGCTACTGAATTTATTTTCATTTATTAGAATTCATGTTTAATTTAATTTTTGGCGTGAAAGAATTAATTCGGAATATCGAATTAACTCTGTAATATATTCTGGAAACGTAAATCAAATTCCTGCATAATATTAACTTCGAACTTAATATGTCTGTTTATTCAAATGTACTAGCAGTCGATAGATATGAGAGGTTACATATGTTTTAAGATTTACACTTTTTTACATGAAAATAAATTATTTTATCATGTCTTGTTATTCTTGTCATTCTTGTCTGATACTCGTTGAAAGAATGTTATTACTTAATTCAATTAAGAATTTCAATCTCTTCAAAAAGTAAAAGTAAAATATTTTAGGTATAAAAGTAAAATTTAAAAGACCTTACATTTGTCTTCAATAACTGAGTATAAATTCATTAATATTCTATTTTTGACATTGTTTCGATAAATACAGGGTAGTCCGTCTGATACGACACATTTACAACTATGTAACAAAAAATTTTTTAACCGAAATTGATCAGTATCGTGTTTACAATAAATGTCTATAATAAAAAATTTCGAAAATAATTTGTTTTCGTGAAGAAACCAAGCTCACCTTGGATTTCTTAAGTACGATCATATTTTTTTCTTATTACATTATAGTAGACGTCAAGATGAATTCGAACTACGGAAGAATAAAAATCTATTGTAATTATCGTAATCAGTGAATAGTGCATCTAAAACGGGTTTAAAATGATGTCAATGCTTTTCTACTGTTTCCCTAAAAGGAAAGTGTAATTAAATGTGAATTAAACGTCTACAGCTGATACTATGTAACTATGTCCCCTTTAGCCAAATCCATTAAGCTAATTGTGGTTATTTGCAACTACTGGCTTCTACATTTATTAGCATTAGATTTACTTTAAACACATTTATTGGATTTAATGAATCGAAATTATTAACTAATTTATATGTAAAGCTAATGAATTAGAACTTGAATTCAAAACTTTTTTTTATCACAAAATATGATACGATATTCACTATGGAAATAAAAAATATGCCTAAATCGTAAGTAGGCTTCTGAATCCGAGTAATTCAAAACTTTAAATCCAGCACAAACTTATTATTAATATTATGCATTTCATAACGAGATAAAATGGAAAGGTCACAAAATTAGAAAATAGAAATAGGCGATACTAATCAATTTTGAACTTGATGAAAATGCTTTCTACTTATATGAATGTCGCGACATAATATAAATTTAGCTATAGAATAATATAGAAGAATTCATGTTTATTATGTGTGGACGACATATGTCAAATACCCACTTTTATCACTTTTATTTTTCTTGAATTACAAATCAATATGATACAAAACAGCTTTATCGAAAAATCAAACTTTATTATTTTAGTCTAATAGAAAAGAAACAATATTCAATGAATTTAACCGTATTGTTCATAAAATGAAGTTTGTACCTTATTTAGACATCATAAGAAAGAATTATTTTGAACATTATAATCATTGCGATTTGATAGGTTTGCAATTCCAATTGTTACAAATAAAATATGTTACAAAATAGAAAATCACGAAAAATGGACATTCCTCGTTTTTTCTCCTTATCCTTCAATTTCATTATAATAACTTCGAGATATTGAAAACTCTTTCAGACCACGCTACTATTGGTAGCTTCTACGACAGTATACTCGAAACCAGCACCGGAACCACCTAGCTCGTACTTTCCTCCATCGAGCGGTGCTAGTCTCTCAAGCGGTAGTTATGGTCCCCCAGACCGCTATGGGCCACCCCAACAACAACCTGTCGTCCATAAACACGTTTACGTTCATGTACCACCTCCGGAAGCGCCAGAATACAAACCACCAAAATACATACCACCCGCAGCACCACCACAGAAACATTACAAGATTGTGTTTATAAAAGCACCTACTCCACCAACACCAACAGCACCAGCTCTACCACCATTACCGCCTCAAGATGAAGAAAAGACTTTGATCTATGTACTGGTGAAAAAGCCAGAAGAGGCTCCAGAAGTTGTTCTCCCGACTCAAGCACCAACGCAGCCCAGCAAACCAGAAGTCTATTTCATTCGATATAAGACACAGGTAAAGTACACAAAGTTTAAACATTTAAAGCAAAATTATGCTAATGATTGTAAACACATTCGAATGATTGGACGTCAAGTCCAAATCAAATGAGACACTAAATAAATACAATTGTGAATATTATAAATATTTATTATAATAATTGCATTCAAAGAATCTAATCAAGATATCTACTTAATACTGATTGACATAATCATTACTAATGAATGAATATTAAAATAAACAATATTATATTACGTACTTTATGAACTGAATTTGTGTTTACCTTCATGTGTATACACAGAGTCACAAATTTGCAGTGTATATAAATACATATAAAGATATGTATGTAAAAAAATTAACACTACTTTAAAGAACCACTTTTATCATTATTATATCCTATCATATATAATTACAATTGACATATAATATTTTATTATTGAGAAAAATTATTTAGAAATGATTTTATCTGGGATTAGAAAATATCCACTATAAGTAAGCAAATAATAATTAGATGTTAGATAAATTTAAAAAATAACTGTTAAAAGTCAATGAAGCACTTATTTATCACAAATACAGGAATTTTTTGAAACAAGTTGTAAAGGGCTGTACTTTTCTTATGTTATAGAAGGAACAACAAAATGCAGAATATGGACCCCCACCGCAATCACCTCCTTCAGATAACTATGGCGCTCCACCATCAAGCCCTGGTGGTCCTTATTAAATAACCCTATTCCATAAGAATGCTCTGAATCAAATACTCAAAACACGTGAATCTCGTGAATTATAGAGATTTTAGTCAATAACAATACTCATCATCCATGAGATTTTGAGAAAATCAATCTGTAAGTAATGTTATTACTATTACAAAGTTTTGTGACTTTTACGATTAGACTGAGATACTATTTATCTCTGTCAATGATAGTATACTAAAGACACTTTGTAATGTTAATATCATTAACCATAAGTTGAGATGGAAATTCATGCATAATACTTGTATTAATTTATTATATATATTACTTTTATCTCTATTAATTTCAAATTATTATCAAATGAATCAGAAAGAAAGTTATACAATCAGAAATATCTTTTTTGCAAATTTCAACATTATTTTAGAGCACTATTCACAAAGGATTATCACATATAGAAAGTTAACAAATTCAGAAATTTCTGATTAATACAAGATACACAATAAAAATTATTGTAACTAATATATATGTATATTTTAATAAAAAACTATTTGTACTTTTGTAAAAAGTTTCACTTCATTAGTTTTACATTTATTTCCGCTTTAAAGCTACTGTAATATGAATTTTTTTTTCGATCAATATACACAATTCAATAAAAGTAGATCAGAAACTAAAGAAGATACAAAAATTTAATTTAATGCAAATTTATTTGGAACAGAATACAAAAGGATAACAAACAATGATATGGTTTACAATTCCAAGTTTATAATTTTGATATACAAGTATATTAAAAAATTACTTCATTTAAAAAGATATTTTTATAAATAACTTGACTGTTTAAAATATAATAACAATGAAAAAATATTCAATATGTTTGCTTGTATATCTATAAAAAATTGTAAACCTGTAGTTAGTATTACAACTTTTACTGTAAAAATTAGTCTTACTTGTTTAAATAATCTATAAAAGTCACAGATTCAGAAAGATTCTTTTGAATTATTATAACTTCCAAAAAAATTGTCTAAATATTTTATTCTATCTTCTTTGGGTAAAAGTATTTACTTATCTATTTATACATTTCCTTTGCAATACATTAGATTTAGTAGTAAATTCATTCCTTTTCTTGCAAAATAAATATGTATAATAAAAGAAGTATAAACCATTTTATTTTATCACTTTTTACTGCTTGCAATTATATCGTTTCTTTACTTTATCACTGTAAAACTTTCCTTCCTATTATAAAACGATATGGACATATTTTCTCAGAATTCTATATAAATACATATTCAAAACATAAAAATTTCCAACCAAATTGCATTGGTAACATTATTCTAGTGAAAAATAATGGTAGCTAATTTTCTTTTTTCATTGCCTATGATTAACTTATACACAATATTTATCAGTAGTAATTGTCTGCTTTTCTGATAAAACATTATAATAAAGTCACTTTCTCAATTTTATCAAAAATACATTCTTAGATTGTTACTGCAGTTTAGATTAGCGTTTTCCTTTATCAACACTGTCCAAAATAGTTTGTTCTGTTCCAATTAATTATTTCAATCACAGATCTTCAATTTCTTTAAATACAAGAAACTAACATGATTTGTGTTAAATATTTAAAATTTTATAATATCTTATATCATTTTTAACCATTATATGTATTCGATTAACATTAAGCTTTATTTACTTGTCTTTACTCCCTCAAATAGACATTATTTGTAAATTTACTACCTACATCTTTACCATATGTGACAAATTTTTAGTTTTGTTTATTTCTTAAAAACCTACGTTGCTCTTTCCAGAAATAAAGCAATATTAAATATCAAAAATAATGCTGCACTCACTCATCATCAGAAAAGCTTTACCTATTACAAAATACATACTACATACAGAAGTACTTACTAAATTATGTACAATCATATACATCCTTGGAGGACTTAACTTAACCTGATATGTTTAATTATCATAACCATTGAAATCATGAGATGGACATTTTTCGAAACAATCGAACATTTTTTAAAGAACGTGTTAAATAAGCTTTTGGAAGAATTATTCCGACGTTTCGTTTAGTTAGCATCATCATTGTAGCAAGAAGTCCACTGAACCCAAATGGAACAGAAATCGAATAGACTTTCTTTATTCGTAATAAAGCTAACTGCTATCTTGATGAAATATATGTCGGAATATTTTAGAGCACAGCTTATATCCGAAAATTTCAATAATTACTACGAATCTTGCATTTATAAATAAACGAACTTAGTACTCAACTTAATATGCACACTTTTCTACAATCTTATAATTAAACTTAATATACTTATAATTAAACTTAAGTTTTAACTCAATATTTATGAATTTATTTTAAAATATCATTCTTTTAAGATAAAGAAATAATTTGGCTTTAAATTGATCAATTTGTAAATACTTTTAAACGTTTGACGGTTTCCATGCCACACTATTTTCACGTAACTTTTCCATTCAAGCCATATGTACTACACATAGTGTACATGCTTACTTCTTTATCTTAACACTTATAAACTTGTTTTACATGCACTGTGGGGACAATGATTTTAATAAAAAATTCAACTTTTACCGAAAATTGGTTGGCATGGAACATCTTAAGTGTTACATAATGCGATCATTCTTCTCGTTTCAATTTGGATAGTATGTAAGTACCTGATTATAATACTTAAACAACCATAAATCACTCGAGTGCGATCGCACAATTTGACATTTTTGTATACATACATTTTTTCGATAATCTTTGGCACTCAAAAGGTTATAAATACAAATATATTTAACAATATAAGGTTACAATGAGGATACATATTAAATAATTTAATCATGTGGAATCTGTAACATTTACGATTATGATTATAATTTAACCGAAAATGAAAAATTGATTTCACAAATTTTAATAACTTTTTAAATTACTACAAACAATAATTTAATTTATTTGTATAATCATACCTTTATTATCATCAATCATACATCATACCTTTCCGCATTTCAATCTTTAAATGCATCATATTTTTAAAAGAACAGAAACTTTAGCATAGTGTTAAATTATATTTCTTAAATTATATCTAAAGTAATGCTAAGCACAGTTCTTCTTATAAAAAGAAATAATTTTCTTAAAACGCATCAATCAAAATAAAGATATTTGTAATAGCTCCCTTAAATATTTTGTACGTATTAAAGTTTATACAAAAAATATTTTGTACATGCTCAAAAGTTAATCCCACCTATTAATCGAGGAAGGTGTAATTTTTTATATTTAGTGTACAATATCACACAAAATAAATCCTTAAGTAGTATTAAGTATCTATTTATATCTACTAATCACAATATGAGATTACAAATAATTTCCAAAAATAAAATGTTTCCTCAAATACCTAAAATGAACATGTCAAGATATAAGCATTAAGTATGATTAGAAAACCATACTTCTACATTACAAATTTATTAAGTTCTTGCTTAATAAAAGATTAAAGATTAGCAAAATTTTCCGTTTCTTTTTCTTCTTAAAAAAAGATTTCCAAAAGTATAAATAGGTCATTTCTAGAAGTTTAAACAAATTTTCTTCTATTTATACAGAAATTGCAACCTTCTACTATTTATAAAAAATGTATTGTATATTTTATTATCTTAATTGGCACTTTTCAAAAATAGTTTATAAATATTTCTTGTACTTCAACAAATTATGTGCAATTCCAGTATTTGAAGACAATGTACCCTTCATCATTTCATTTCAATCACTTTCCTTATATTTAGTATCATTAATAAAAAGATAAAACTTATTCAGAAACTTTTTTACATTTACATTACTGTTCAAACTTTTTAGACCGCTTTTTGAGAAAAGATATTTTAACAAGTAGTGAAATCAGTGGATAAGAGAGATATATTATATGACCACAATAATAAATAGAAAAGTAAACCTGATGATAACGAGGGTATGACAAAAATGTAAAACAAACAAGACAATAACCCATAAAAATAAATGTGTACATGTGCATAAGAATCCATGTGAGAATTTGAAGTTCTGGACGACTGTTTAGTAAGCTTTGTAATTTCTGTTGTCTCTTCAATATTTGAGATAACTACAAAAATTAATACAAAATTTTACTCAGTGCAATGATACTAAATTGACAAATAATTAGTTCATTAACTACTTTAATAATAATTTAATCAATTGAATAATGGCTTACTTAATGTATTTAATCTATCTGACCAATTTTATAAGTTACAATACAATAAATTACATTTTGAGAAAATATGACATTAATATCAATATATATTTCTACCAAAAATAAACATGATATTATATATATTATATAGTATATAATAACAAGAAGAATATAATACTAAATTTATAAATTATAAAATTTTTAAGTAAGCCATTAAACAATCGTTTACCTGATCATCATCCAGGTAAATAACCAATTGCTTAATCATTGCATATAGGAATATTTGATGTAAAACTAATATCAAACTTACGTCTTTTTCAGCATACATGATAATAAACTCGAGGAAGAAGCATACATAGTATCCTGAATGAAGTCCATGCCAAACTGCGAGAAAAGCCAGGGTGAAAAATTGACTATATATTTTCGATCCCAGAAATTTCAACCTCTTATAAATATATTCCGCACACCAATTATTAGTGTTTATATTAAATGATAAGATATAATCATTAAATTGAGTTGCTGTTTCAAATTTTAACAATTTAACATTTTCACAACCATTCCACAGAGGACGACCTTTCTCATCCTTTCCATTATAAGTTAGACCAAAAGTTGTACAAACCTGAAATAAAAATTATGTTTTATGATTCAAAGCAAGCGATAATATATAATTGTTAACATTGTTTAATTATAAATTATTTTGTTGATCAATAGATTAGTAATCTATAGAAAAGTATATATTATAAACATATATATACATGCTTTCCTTACCCCTTCAGCTAATAACCAACAAGAAATATATTTATACAGATTGAAATGACCCCAAAAGCCAATCGTAAAAAGACGTTTCAAGAATGTCTGTTCTCGGAATTCTGCACTCAATAGATATTGATTGGGAATGTATGAAGTCCCTAATTGATAGAATATCAAGTATATAAATCCGACAAACATTCGAGAAATACCAGGAATGATACAATCAAGAAGTTCAATTTCTTCTTTCATAGAGAACTAAAAATACAAAAAAATAAATTATTTTTTCTTTATATTATATTACATGAGTTTTACGGCAATAGATGAAAGTGTGCCACCATGTTACAAAAGTTAAACTAAGAAAATATATTACATAAACGTAAACATGTTTTATATAAAATATCTTAGTAACATAGTATTATACAGAGTATGTAATAATAATGGATTAATCTTTTCTTTAACACAATATGAAAATAGGTTGACAACATTTACTTTAGCCTTATTTCAAAATCTTATCTATTTTCATGAATGTAAAATTAATATCTGTGAAAAAACGAGATTTATCACATATTTTATTAATTATAATTCGTTTCAGTGAATGCAGTAGAAATTCCTTATATTAGTTTGTGACGTGTATTCGTTTACTTCTATATATATATATATATATATATATATATAATTTGTTGTAATTCTGTTAATGAATTATTTATGAGATTGTGTAATATTTTTCTCTTAGTTTTACTCATAGAACATGTCGGCACCGTTTGTTGAGAAAGATCTGAGACATCCTATATATCGATTAAAAAGTTCTTACAATTTTTTCGATTACTTAATTAGTATTTTAGTATGACTTACAGTATTCGTATCGACCATCGTATATCGTCCATTTACATAGTCTAAGTACCTTTTCATGCTAAATTGTGGCCCAACGAGAAACGATCCTGGAAAATATGCAAATGCTGCAATCTCTAAAAACGTTGGTTGTTCTTTCAAGGCCACTTGTTTCTGCGATGCAGACAATTTTTCCTAAAACGGTAATGTTATTAGTTAAACTTCTTCCTTCTGAAAGGAAATTTCCTTCGTTTCTTATTCACCCTTCTTAATTGTTGTATTTAACTTAAATTTTAACTTCGATTCTTTAACTCGGCTATTTATTCATTAATTAGACATTTCCATCGCGTGTATTACGCTATTTGTTGTTCTATACGTACCTCGGGTTTTTGACCGTCCAGCAAATTGAACGCAAGACCAATTAATCGCAGAGTTAGTACACACTGTGGCATAGTCCATTTTATGTCATAATCATCTGTACTTGTCATATAATATCCTATAAACGATAAAAACGAATATTATTTTTTAATGTATAATATCTTTATTATGTTCGATCTATCATGTGGATACAGGAGTATTCTGTGATATGTAGAAATCATTTTATAGATGAATTTAAAATTAAAATTCTATTCGTCCTTGTTTTTATGTTATGGAAAGTATTTAACTCGAAATGATGTTCTGTTGCACTTTAGTCGGGCAATTATATAATTGTTTAACCAGCAATTTATATATATATATAAATATATATATTTATATAGAATTTTTATATATTTATATATATAAATATACATATATATATATATATTTCTATTGCTAAACCTGCTTATTTGACTAAAACGTGGTGGAAGTTTAGTTATAGATTCGTTTGAATTTTATTATGCACAGTACTGGACAACTAGACATAATAAGACAATCAATGGCAAAACATTTGCAGACCTGCATTCATATGCAAAGAGATTTGGTCTGTTATGAAAGTAAGCGGATACAGTTTGTTGAAGAAGAAACTCGCCGTAACTTGAATAAGGATAAATTGAAAAGAACATTATCAGATGTTTATATGAATTCTTTTCATTTTTTTTTTTTCATGTACTGAACCGATCTTTAAATCTCATATATTACAGGACACCCTGTATATATCATTTCAAGTGAAACGGTAACATGTACCACGAAGTTACAATTATCTGCACACGTTAAGTATTACGATCTATCAAATTGTATTAGTTCCAAGTAATGCAACTATTGAATAAACGTGAAATTATTCGCTTTATCAATTATTTACATTATTAATACATTCATCACGTGGAATCAATTTGGACTAAATTTCAAGAAAATCGTATAATTTTAAATTAAATTAAATGATGAAATATATATATATTTATTATTATATATATTATTAATATATATAATATATTTATTGTTATATATATCATATATAATATATATTATTATATATATTATATATATATTATATATATATTATATATATATTATTATTACATATATATATATAATAATTACATATTATATATATATATGTAATAATAATATATAATTACATACTATATATATATATATATATATATATATATATATGTGATCTACATTACCTGTTGTACACTTGTTATACATTCATTGCATAACATTAACCGATGACCGACGTCACGTGAACGGAGAAACTTTTGTCGATTAGCAGTAATCGATATCGCATCGAACGTATTAAATTAGTTATCATCGTCATTTAAGAAATAATACATGTTATGCAAAAATGCATACATAATTTTTTTAAATCGCGCTCAATTAAAACTAACGACACTTTTACTATAATTTATAATAGTTCGCACGATTTCTGGATAATTTGTAAACATTGGTAACATTTTCCTAGTAAAATGAAGCTAATTATATAGAACAAGTTAAATATCTTTTATTCCTATGTTCTTTTTGTCGGAGATTGGTAGGTTGTTTGTTTATTAATTTACATGTTTTTAAAAAATCGCACGAACTGTTAAATAAGTATAAATAATAGTGTACTATAAATTGTTCATACCGCATAGAAGATGAGCCATATTGAAGACAAAAATAATGACAACAGATAAAGAGGAACCACCAAGGCGTTTTAAGACGCGATATGTGACATACATTGCTGCAGCTGAGTGAAGTATATTGAGCCCTGTAAGTACACAATACTTATGATCAACTAGTTCCTTAAAGAATTGATCCAAAATATTTTTGAATGAAAATTACATTTACTATTATCAATTAATCAATCAATTTATAAAGTCTTTCCAATACGTAAAAGAAAAATTATTTTAGTATGCCGATCAATACCTTTAAATAATTTTCGAATTGCTTTCCGATTTAATTACTATTGAATAATTCATCATAGTTTAATAATTCTTAAAGTAACAAATATACTGCACACTAAAATTTCAATTCATTTCCTCGAAGAAGTAAACGTCATAGTTGAAATAGAATAAAAGATATAAGACAAAACATGAAAATGTATTTAAAAAAATTCAAGAAATAATAATTTTTTTCTCGAATATTCTTCTTCGAATATTTAAATAAATTTTTCTGAAGAAAAATAATTACCATAATTCCACAAGCAAATCAAAACGCCACAGGTTGCAAAAAATATATGTTGAAAAACTGGACATTTTCCGTACAAAGTATATCTGTGAAGAAGGGCGATGGGTAATCCTGAAAGTTCAGTTATAATTGTATTATTCTCGAGTTTCATCGAAATATTTTTACGAATGTTTCATTTCACGTACATTTTATAAATTAAATTCATATCTAGTTGCAATTATTGATACTTGTAATTCGTTTTCATCAACTTCGAAATTAGTCATATTACAAGTAATTAACTCTATGACAATGTTAGTATGATAATTTAATTAATTAATCTAAAAATAATACACCAGTACGTGACAATTTGTTATATTCTTACAATCATAACATATATAGTTTTAAGAGACGATAATAAAGTGAAAAGTAATCAATGATACGAAATTTAAATACAATACGGATAATTGGGACGCTATTATTACTTATTATACAGTTATTATATTATATTATATAGTTATTATTAACAATATTTTTATCCACAACAATTGCACAATTGAAAAACAAAGAAAATAATTTATAATTGTAAATATAAATTCTTTCATTGAGCCAGAATATTATATATATTGCAATGATGTTGCAATTTCCGTCGTAAAATAATTTGCATAAAATAAAACCAGGAATAGAGAAATGTGACAGATTAGGACGAGAAATGGAGTTACTACTAAAGTAAATAGTAATTATTTTTATTCTTACAATCACTAAAACACACACATAATAACACATATGTTCAAATATAAATTTTAATATAACCAGTCAGTATACACATCAGATAAACAATTTGTATGTTTCTTTATAGCCAAAATCAATAATAAATCCTAACTGACTAAATTACAGATATTATAATGTAACATACAATTACTTCTGTATAAAGTTTAGATTAGGATTCAAAATTAAACAATCTAAATAATAAAAAGTGTTGTTTCCTATTGCAATAGTTACTATTAAGATAATCTTGACCAATTTACGAGAGAATTAAAGTACATATCACGCACGCATGTGCAACAAAAATGTAGGATACATAACCTTCAACCTCAAAACACTGCGAAACTGTGGAAATACTATTTTCAATTATAAAATGACAAATTAAGATCTAGAAAAGTATTTCTAGGAATACATAAGAAATCATAATACATAACAAGTAAATCGAAGTGCAATGTGATTATGCAATCACTGATGTAACGAACAAAAATGAGATCAGGCTATAGGTTAATGTATACATGTATTTTATATACGCCAATTTATTGACGTTAAATACTGTAAATGAAAATCGTAAAAAAGGAAGCAATGTCCTTCTGAAGACATTAATTACCAAGAAAAATGGAGATAAGAAGACGAAGTGCAGCTTCGGATGTATTTAAAGTTTCCGAGAGGCTTAACAACATACTGCTCGACATTGTTGATTCTTTCGAAATGGTTTCTTATCCTGTTGCTTTATCTTCTTAAATCAGTTTCGTAATGTTATTATTAAATTTATTTCTATGGGAGACGTAAAAAAGAAAATTTAATTTACATTCTGCACCAATAACGTCACCTGTCACTTCTATAGTTATCAAGAAATCGATACTCAAACCACGGTAAGAATGGAAACCTTGTTATAGTGTTCTAAAACTCATTAAACTTTAGGTAGTTGCAAATAAAATTTTTCAAAAAAGAAAAGACATGTATATAGAACAAAATTACATATTGAAATGGATGGTTGAAATAGTAAAAAGTAATTATTCAGTATATTATAAAAAAAATTGAAAGAGAGTTGAAAACAAAACATTGGTATATTTAAGAACACCTGAAAACAAATTTCACGTCAAACAAATCACACTTTCTGTATCTATTTCTTTCTATTTCACATTATTTAAAATATTAATTAACGATATTGCGAACAATTATACTTAACATATAACATATTAAGGAACAGTTATCTTCCAGTAGACCATACGTTTACTTTCAAGAATGCTCAAATTAAAAATTTTTTCTAATCCAGTATATGCAGTATGTCAAATAAATCATTATCTGCTTCGTAACCATTGACGAGATATGTTGCGACACAATACCATTCGCACAATGACACAGACAAGTTATTCGCGACAAAATACCATTTGTACATTGTTACGGACGAGGTTATCCCCCGACACAATATTCGTACTACACCATCTTTGAGATGTCCCGTTAGTCTGTTTTTCTGTAATTATAATTTTTGTTTTAATAAGCAAACGCACAAGATATCTCGTCCGTGACGTAGTATAACTGTAAATGATATTGTATTATAATCGCGAAATGACTCAGCCGTACTATCGTATCGATATCGTATCGTAAAATATCTTGTCCATGGCTAAAAGTAAATAAAAACATAAAGTAAATAAAAACACTAAGCTTACCAAAATTCAAAATTAAAAATTTTCAAAATTTCAAGTATTCAAAATTTAATTTAAAATTATACATTCATTGTTATTTATTTCGTTCATCTAACTTTTGCAAACGTTCTTATATTAATACAAATTGAGAAATCAAATAATATAAAAATTTACATAAAGTCAGATGAACAAAAGAAATAACAATAAATGAACAACTTTAAATTAAACTTTGAAGCCGGTCATTTCACCGGATCTGGTAAGATTAGTGTTAAAATATGTAGCTTAACAAGCTTACTACAAACATAAAATTCTTTTAAAAAGAATAAAACCGGACATAAGTAAACTTATGAATCAATATTGTTTAAAATTGTCACAATTTAGTTTGTTTTCAAACCGTATTTAAATCAGCACAAATTATTTATGCCAGAGACAAAAGAGAGTACTCACGCTTATTGACCTAGTTCTTCTTAGACTGGTGCTGCACCATGCGGCCAAATGCTGAGATTATCTAACGTTAGTATATACAAGAACCTATAAAATTAGGGATCTGCCTGTTTGGTTGCACACTAGTATAGACAAAAACCCATTGAGTTTCACGCTACAAGAACCTATTTAATTATGCGGTTCTATGGGAAAGTTCTTATGTACTTCTTTATCCGATGTAGACAAATATAAGAATTATAAAATTGCATAATAATGAAACTATTCGTAAACTGTCAAAGAAGGAGAAATGTTCACTACACATATTTGTTTTTAGAGAAGGAAGAGAATATTCTCATTCAAACGATACTACATCAGTAGAATGATGCAATAATTTTAATATTTTTCCATATACCATCTAGAATTAAAATTATCTATGCTTGACACTTGGCATGTCAGTTGTACTAGCATGAATATTTATTCATCGTCGCATGCCGATTTTCCCTGGTACGTACGATGGTGTTCGTTGAGACGAATTCAATGACCTTACATATGAGGCCATTCATTATTGTAAAATGTTATAAATTCAGTTCTTAAGAAGTCAAGTGAACCAGTGTCACTAGCTACCGGCTACTAGATTGCTGTATGCGCTGTAAACAAGTATCGAATTTCTTATCTCCCATGATGCTTCCCAAAATACCAAACATTATTAAATCCTGAAAACTCACTTTAATTGACGTACTTTAGTCGAATAAAAATTATAGTAGTAGTTAAAAACATTCGTTGAGCCGCAAATAAATAAAAATCGTCAAAAATTGCACTATTTTCAATTGTTAATTATACATATAAAATTGAGAATGCGATGTTGGAAATCATGAAAATGTAGCTTTTGTCATTCTGAAAAATATTCAAAATTTAATCCCCAAATGTTTATTAGTTTTTGTAAAAAGCAATTTAACAAGTAAAAGGGAGTCTTCGTAGACTTTAATTTCTACAATTTTCAGAAGTAACATAGTAACTGGCGGGGGCTTTTTCTGTTCTTGAATCATGTACAACTCGAAACTAATCGATCTTTTAATTGTAAACTATTTAAAATTGGCGCCAGAAATGATACATCATTTTACTTTTTACAAGGACACGTTTATATTATAAAGAATGTAACAGTTACGGTAAAATTAAAAATATAAGAATTAGTAAAATTCAATAATGCAAACCAAAATAAATGCATAATTATAATGACAATTATTAAGAGCCATTAATCATTTAATAATAACATAATAATTCTACTTTTTCTATTTTTCGTTATAAGAACATGTAGAGGCAATGCTAATGACTAAGATTGACAATAAATAACTTGATCGTCTAACCAATAGACGTGAGCGTTCACCTTCTTCCATCAATTCTTTCTCATCCAATGAATTTGCATACATTCCAATCCACGTGGTACCCCCATCTTTATCTCGGAACTTCTAACGAATCTTGGGGAAAACAAATTTTACGCAGATTCACTCGTCTGTCGCCTACCGCAGATAGCCGAACCTAATGATTGTCTTATATAAATCATTAACTTTTGCCTTACTTAAATTTCTTTATATTTTAATTAATGCTATTTATTTCTATATCTTCATCCAATTTATTTTATTTTTGCACCGTCGTGTTCCCCGATACCTAAGGGTTTTTTTGTAGCTGGCTTCAGGTTTTTATGTGATAAACTTACAGAGATTGGCTCGGTGAGAAAATATTTACGTCTACATCGAATGTAACAACAGTCGACATCGAGAATATCATCTGTATCACTTTCCGAAAGAATGAATTTGAAAAGTTGGTAAGTACAAAATATTCATACTGTGCATACGTGTATTTTGTATCTGTTAATGTTCTAAATTAACACATTAACGGCCGGTATTTTCTCGGTTAAATCGCGTTTCTAGTCAACATCCTCCTTAACATTTTCGACACTTTCTGATAGTACTTATATGAACACAGAATAGAGACGACATATGGATGTTTCTAATATAAGAATCCAATGGTTCAAAAGTCTTGCATTTATAAAGTTTGGTACTTTAGCCTACTGCATAGCTTACTTTTACGTGATAGCCATTTAAAGGGTAAATTTTATTATTTATTTAAACACATAATGTGTTCAGAATGTCGGAATATTGCTTTACGATCAATATTCTGAGATTTTTCCGATTCAAATGAGTTAGCAAATATGCTTCGAACAATGTAGTTGTCTGATGATATTCTTATTATAAAAATGTAAGTAACGTGTTGGTAAAAGTATCATCACAAATCAAGAATAAGAAAATTTAAATTTTGAATTGAACTATTAAGCTTATCACAGGTCATTCATATTTGTTGATTGTCAGTCCCTCCTTCTCTTTCACTCGCACTGTCCCTTTCTACGTTCGACACGTCTAGGACCTCAGTTTGGACATTTAGAATAGCTTATGTGTCTCCATTGTCGCAACACTTGAATCCCGATTTTCGTACAATTCCAAAATGTTTCCTGTATCTTCAAAAAACGCAATAATAGTTAAGAAGGTGTGTCTGCAGACGAAGTTTAGCCAGTCCTTCAATTAAAATATATTCACAGTAGGAACATTTTAGCATTTTGATGATATCCTAGGATATACAATAAAACAACTATATATCTTTTCTCTATTAAACATCTACTACTGACTACAGAAATAATGGCAGATAGTATTACTCGATCCGAGACCGAATGTCGACGAGGCGCCAATACAACAATAAAACTTTCATATTATTACCAATAGTTATGAATCTTTCATCAACATGTCTCGCAAGTTATCACCCAATGATTTTACGTCCCTGCGCGCCCCGAAACTTCGGAGCAAGCAGGCGAATCCGTTTCTGTTCTACATACAGCTCAGTTTTTTTCTTCAGTAACTGATATCTTCGATATATAATAATAAAGTACTATACAAGATCTGTATCTGGTTTCCTCTAAGTCAGTCAATTTTAATATAAAACAAGATACCTTGTCTCTTGATATCAACGTGTATTACTCGTTTCATCTATGTTACTTTCGCTTATTATTAATATGTACTATTCTTTTAACAGGCAATCTCTTCCTAAAATATTATACCTGCGCAACATTAAGAAGCATGGATGTCTGTGCTAATTATTTTTTACTCGAAATCATCAAATAAAATTATACAAAAAATACGAACACAAGAGAAATCATACTGTATCCGAACAACCAACAAATTTATTACAAAATAAAAGAGAAAGAGAATATATACAAGAAAGATAGCTCGTGATCGAAAAACAAGTGACCAGAAAAGAAGGGTAAGAGCAAGAAGAACGACATCAATGCAACTACTACCGCTACCAGCAATAGAAACAGGCGGATGAGGGAGAGATAAAATAAGAAGAAAATGAATTATTGTTAATACACCAATGCTAGACTATACAAGAGTACCGTTAAGATTCGCTGAAAATGACGATTCGATTGAACGACTAGCAATTCAATCGCAGGCAAGCTGCGACGTTCATATTAAGGAAAGCCTAGGGAAAACATTCCGAGAAATAGAATTGCAAAATGAACATGCTCTGTTGTTGAAAGAAAATAAAAATTTGGCACGCTCTGCTGTTGAAAGAAAATAAAAATTTGGAAGCACAAATAAAATATGTCAAATAACACCTCTAAAAAGCCGAAATGTCCAGAAATCAATTGCGTGAGAAGTTGAAGAGATTAGATGTCTTGAGGTGGAAACTCAAAAGGTAAGGTCAAAATACATGCTCAAGTTCGGTGAAGAAAAAGTTGCAAAGCGGTGGGCTGAGAGACAGAAACTAAAAAATTTACTGCACCAGTAAAAATTGTACAACTAAAAAATTCCTTGAAGATGAATCACGACATCTTCCCCCAAAAAGAAGACGCTTCGTCGTAGAGAGCGAAGATGCGGTTTCCTGCTGACCCCGGAAACTCTTTTATTCGTAAAGCAGAACGATCGCTATGAAGTCAGCCTGTGAAACAATCGTTTTCTGAAATCCATAGTTTCTGAAGAATCGATTCCTTCGATGATTCTAGGAGCATTCAAAGAATAACTTTTCGATACAGCGGAGGAAGGCCCGAGGCCGGACGACATCAAGAAAGAAAGACGCAGGTCTCAAAAGTCAAAAGAAAAGGCGAAGAGTTGGGATTTCTTTTAAGACAGAAATCTACATTTATATAATACACGTCTTTGACTGAATTATTTTGGATGGTTTCCCTTTATAGAATAGTCTATTGGTATAGAGATACATACATATTAGATATGGCAATATTTGTAAATGTATTATTTATGTTTTTTGTTTCGTATTTTAAATTATTATTTTAACATTTTTTACTATTTTTAACTCTAGTTAATATATATCATCGTTCAAAAATATAGTAAACGATTAAGTTCTCTTTCTTAGGCAACATACGATTAAATAAGTTTCCGTAGTGTGAAAGCCAACAGGTTCTTGTTTATGTCGGCGTACAACATAATCGGGTAGATCCCTAACTTTAAGCTTAAATTCAAAGGTTCTTGTATATGCTAAATTACGACAAAGCAGGGCAGATCTTTAATGTTATAGATCCTTTTGCAAGTTAATTTCAGTTGAACTCCAATTTCCTCTCTGTTCGTAACCATGGACGACATATGTAGCGGCACGATACCATAACAGCTTAATCGCGACACGATACCGTTTGTATATTGTATCGGAAGATGTTATCCCCCGACGCAATATTCGTACTACACCATCGGTAAGATGTGCCGTGAGTGTGTTTCTTTATTATTACAACTTTTGTTATAATAAGCAAATGCACCAGACATCCCCTCCACGACGTAGTATGACTGTGAACGATTTTGTGTTGTAATCGCGAAATGACTCAACCGTATTATCATATTAACAATATCGTATCGTAATATATCTTGTTCATGGTTAAAAGTAAATTAACACGAACCTTACCAGGCCCGGTCACATGACAGTTTTCAAAATTTAATTTAAAATTGTACATTCATTGTTATTTATTTCACTCATATAAATTTTGCAAACATTC